GCAGCACAGGAGGGGACAAAAGTGGTATCGGTTAAGAGTATCGGCTGGCTTTTACGAGTACGAGTACTTGATGCTGGTATCGGATCCGATTCCGATACTGGTATCGGGACACCTCTAATTATTTCTTGCATTATCAATGAGTTTTAATCAAACATTTGGGGACATCTACATTAACAGGTGTTCCTACTGGCAGACAGAAAAAAACTAGTTTCCAAGGACAGATGCCTGCATGTGGCCATGACACACAAGGTTACCCTCGAAGAACTGGAGCGAGAATGACATCTGATCAAACAGCAGCCCAGCCAATAATGACAGTTAGGCCGTGTTGATGTTCAGGGAGGTTGATTTTAGCATTATTGTTATTATTTCTAAACAAAGACAATGAGCTTTATTCGCTAATATCTTATTAATTTATGATTTTTGTTTTGTTTTATCAGAAGGGTTTCAATGACATGTTCTTAAACCACATAACTGTTAACCCTGATGGAAAGTCATTGTCTGTATAAGCAACAAAAGAAACCAGAAAAAAAAGAAAATAATCTGCATGAATAAGTGGTTTCAAGGCATGCTTGGACTACTAATTGATTGTAAAATGATGCAGATGGTACTCTGAGTCTTGTCTGGCTTTGATTTGGTTCTGTTTGTCTTTTTCTGGCTGCAGAAGGAAGAAAAAATAGCCACAATCTATGCAGCTGATGAATAGCCTCAACTAATCCAACACTGCCCATTTATAGTCATTTGGCCCAGAAACTTACGTGATAAATTAGAGCAACTTGAGGTCTACTTCACATTTTCATACATTTGAAACTATTGAAAATTTAGCTGAATTCATAGTGTCTTTAAATTGAATATAGATGCATTACTACCGTGCTAAACTCCCACTGCTTTATGGCGTTGTTTCAGTTAAATGCTGCTTTTGTTTACCAATGGTTTACTGAAGTCTAACTTAATCCAATCAGATCTGTTGGCAACAGCTGACACACATTATTATGCATTTGTTCAGGTGTTTCGGCATGCTTTGCCGTAAAACTCTTCAAATCCTGGCTTTCGGAGAAGGACATAAATTCAGTCGCTGGCAGTCTTCGAAAGGTTGGCATGGACAACAGACTCATGGTGAGAATCGCATCTTTAATGCAAAATCTTTACCACTGACAGGTGTCAGAAGTGAGTGTAGTCTGATGGCTAAAATGAACTTAGGAATCCTTACCAGTTAAAACTAGTGATCATCAACTTGTTCCGCCAGGGGCCACACACATTCCATCCGGCAAAGTAGGAAAAGTTGACCGATATGAGTTTTGTTTTTTTATTCTCGATGCCGATACTAGTCTTTAGAAATCAGGGAAGCCGTTCATTGTGAGTTAGTTTATTAAAAAGTTAAAACAGATCAGCCACAGTAAATAGAAATAAACCAAATAGAACGCTTGCTCTCACTATGTTTGTTTAGAAATTTTTGCTCTTAACAAATTTCAATGATTTTTAGTTTAAAATGTGTTTTGTGAGTTTGTGAATCCAATATTGCTGGTGATCCTTTGCAATCCCAGACTAGGCTGTTTAAAAAAGTAAAGTATAAATAAAGAAAACCACAATATTTGGATTGTAAACTATTGTGACATTCAGTTGACAGAAAAACAATGATCGCAGATAAAGGCCTGTCTGGCTAAATCAAGTTTCTCTCAACACTCGACTCCTTTCAGGAACTGTTTCCTGCCAACAAGCGCAGCAGTGAACACTTCTCTAAGTACTTCAATGATGCCGGGCTTAAGGAGCTTTCAGACTTCGCCAAAAACCAGCAGTCTATAGGTGCCCGCAAAGAGCTACAGAAAGAGATACAGGATCTGATGTCGCGTGGGGACCCCCTCAAGGATGTGAGTCCTTTAAGTTTTTTCCTGCTTCTTTTACGCTGAGGTCTTTTCATGCGGCATGCCACTGAGACTAGCACTGCAAATTGCTTTCTACTTGACCTCTGCCTGCCTTTGTCTTGAGACGTGGTGGTGAAATGGATGCAGTGAATCAATGAAAAGTTCCTGAAATCCACTCAACCTCGACAATATTATCAGTTCCCGCAAGCCTCTCTGAGAGTTCTCATGCCGCACGGTGCCGCAGTTTTGGATAAGCGGCAAGATTTTTCTATATGCTGAATCTTTTTGCTTTGTCGCTAACGTGTTGTAGATTATCGCATACGCTCGAGAGGAAATGAAGAAGAACAACATCTCGGAGCAGACAATGATTGGACTGATGTGGGCCAGCGTGATGAGCTCAGTGGAGTGGAACAAGAAGGAGGAGCTGGTTGCAGAACAAGCCATCAAACATCTAAAGGTGACRCCTTCAATATGCGATTGCACCATTCCCTTTCTCTCCCGCAGTTATGACAGTAAAGAAACCAATCTAAAGCTTAAGTGTGTCACTTAAACTGTAAGATATTGCCAAATCCAGTCTGCAGTCAGCACATAACCTAGCAGAGATAATTTGCTAAATCAAAGAAGTTCTCCCAGCAGGGTGGATAGAAACATAAGAAATCAGAGGAAAAAAAACTCATCTCTCCCCTACTTATTCAGTAAAGCTGTCAGATCTATAAAGTCAGGTTCCTCTAACTCTAAATGTTTCGTTTCTTCAGCAATACAGCCCACTGTTGAAGGCTTTCACCAGCCAGGGCCTCTCAGAACTTACCCTTCTGCTGAAGGTCCAGGAATACTGCTACGACAACATCCACTTCATGAAGGCCTTCCAGAAAATCGTCGTTCTGTTCTACAAAGGTGAGATAACTGCGCTCAGAAGGTTCCTGTTTCCGTGTTTGTTTGCGAGGAAGCAAAGTTTGTTTTATGGTGGGAAGCGAAGAAGGCATGTATGAGCAATGCCAGATGGTCTGAGATTATAGCCAAAAGTTTGTCTTGATTGATGTCATCAACCAGCCCTGGCGACATTTGTATTTTTTTATTTATTTTCCCCCCCAAGCACCTGGGCTTGCATCTGTGCATTTGGCATCATGTTAAATAGGTTTTCTTGTTCTTTCTTTTTTTTTCTCTTCTTTTTATTTTTTTTAAAGCGGATGTCTTAAGTGAAGACACTATCCTGAAGTGGTACAACGAAGCCCATGTAGCCAAAGGAAAAAGTGTTTTCATTGAACAGATGAAAACGTTCGTGCAGTGGCTCAAGAACGCAGAGGAAGGTAGGCCCCCTCRAACGTGTCATTGATGTTTCTTACAAAGATGGTCGAGCACACTAACAGTTTTCATCCTTTCAGAGTCTGAATCTGAGGAAGAGGATGCAGACTGAGGATTTTTAACAACCTCCTTGGTTTTAAATGAACCTAACACCAGATGCTGTCTGTGGATGTTTTCCATTTTCCCTGTCTATTCTCTACCTCTGCCTATCTTTGTTCAACTGTCACAGAAGGGCTTTAATATTTCTTGGACTTGCCTCTTTAAATCAATACTTGTACTTCTCTTTTTACTCCTCGAAGAGCCATTCTCAGTGCCAGATTTAGGTTAAATGTATTGAAAGTCCTTTCTCATAACAAAGAGAAGATTTTGTTTCCCCCTCAAAGACGGATCCCTTTAGAATTGGGCAGTTTGATGACAGACCTTTTATTTGCCAGTGGTTCTTCTATGGAGCCATGATTTGCTGGTCGTCTGAAAGAAAAAACAGATTTTGTGACCTTGTCTTTACATTTCTGCCAGGTATATGAATGACAGCATCAAATTGACTGCCATTTTTTTTTTTTTTTTTTTACATTCTGCCACTAACATTGGCAACGGACCTGTGCCAGTTGAAACAGCAATTATGGCAGTAATTTTGCCCTATAAAAAAAGTTTCATAAATCTCATGTAATAAATCCATGCAGGCTTTGTAGGGGTTTTCTCCCTTTATCACAAATAAAAAAAAATTAATCACAAGTAATCGTTTTTCATTATTGGAGTTGTTTATTTGTGTAACATTTCAGACATGCTAAGCACACGCTGCTTTTYACTGCATCCATTGTGTTCAACAGCAACCTGTTCGTTCTCAAACTTTTTTTTTCGACTGGTTGATTTCATTTCATTTCACCTAATCATCCAATCAAGAAAGGCAGGCTGACATTCATAACCCGAGGTGCAAACGGCAATCTCAGTCACTTCACTCTTATCCTTATTTAAATGAAAATAAAGGTGCAGCCAAGCATGCAGAAATGCAAGTGAGATGGTGATTCAAGATGTTATAAAAACAAAGGTCAGTACAGATACATTAAAAGCCCGAAAAACAGATTTAGTAGTCCAGTTAATGTATAGATTACAAAGAAACAGGAAGGCAGAGCACTGGAAAGCCTTATCAGGAGATAATCACTTTCACTCTGAACCAACAGATGGCAGTAAACCCTTAAGAGATTTTTTCCCTCCCTTATTAAAGCTTGCCAGGTTTTCAGAATCAAACAGAAAATGCCGATTTGCATTAAAAAAAAAGTCGACTAAAAAGTATTAGACAGAACTACAAAGTATCCAGCACGAGTATTTTCTCTGCCTCCGTGTCTGGAGGATTTGTTTGCCTTTTGGTTTTATTTAGTCGCTCTAAAGAACATGAAACAATTTGGGGGAGTGACACGCCGGCTGKGGGAAACATGACCACTTTGGAGATTTGATTTAAGTACATGCAGCACTGAGTAGAAACGATACCCCCCCCCCCCCCACACACAACACACACCAAATTCAACCCCGCACAGTGCCAAGCATATTGATGGGACTGTTACCAGTTTGTTGTCTGCCTCCACCACCACACACACACAGGACTCCTCCCTGCACATTGAGGAATGCTGCGGTTTAATGAGGTGTCCATGCCGTGCCCTGACACATCTGCTGGTTTAGCTTTTCTTCCATTTTCAACAATCTGCTGCCGAATGTGTCTTTATTTCATGCTCCCGTGGATGATTCTCACTAAGAGTGGAATAAAACCAACACAAAGAAAACTTGTTGGGTCAGAGGTGTTTTCTCTGTGCTGTTGGCATTTCATTACACTCAAAACTAATGCAAAAGATTTCAAAGCTAATGAACAGATCTGCTGCCGTTTTATGTTAAGTTTCAAAGATGAGATTTTGTCAAAGACGAACAGAAGAACAAAGAGGCCGACTTAATGCATTTTGGGAAAATTCTGTCAGCTGGACTTCCAGCTTGAAGGGAGCAGAGCGGCACAATGTGCCAAGGAATGCCAGGGGAGATGTAGAGAGCAATTATTCTGAATTTCACACTGCGGCTTTGGTCAGTAAACATGACTCTGACTGCAATGCAGACCTCATCTGAATAATGCCGTCAGAAAACAGAACAAGAGAGGGCAATGCTTCTTTCGAATGTGGAGAGAGACTTGAGATAATTACTCAGTTTTCAACAAAACAGGAAAAAAAAGCACTACCTCATTCCAACCCAATCATGCCGTGATGTGCCAAGCACAAAAGAAGCACTGTTTTTTGTTATGGGCAAGTTTCAAGTGAGAGCGGCTTGCTTTGCATTTTAAGCAGCAAAGCGTGACAGGCACAATGCTTTTTCCTGTTCTGCTGTGTGTGTTTTTTTTTTTTTAGTGTTTATGGCAGACCACTCTAATGCCGGGCCTATCAGCCAGGTGAAACATGGAAATGAGCCTAAACATGTTTACTTGCTAAATACTGCCAATTGGTTCCCCGCGTCAGTCTCTGCTGAACATCCTAAAGCGGCGCAGCCTTCCAGCCCAGTTGTAGTCATGGAGAAGCGAGCACCTCTGTGACAGCAAACAGCTGCTGAGCTTCAGCAAAATCAAGAGGGGCAAAGAGTTGTTGGCGTTCGCAAACAAATGTTCGTCAGCTGTTATTGATGCTGTAAGGTTAATGCAACCATCCGTTCTCTTTCTGTTGTCTTTTTTTTCCCCCTACTCCTCCCAGAGGCAGGTTGCCAACAGCTTTCTTTAAAACGGTGTGGCCTTGTGCAGCTATTCTCAAACKTACTCAATAATGCACACTGATCCTGTTTTAAACGATCCCTCAATTATAACATTTAGATTTAAAATATTTAGACCATTCTTGGCTGCCTGACKGAGAAAATTACATCGTCTTTAGGCTTCATTTCAAAAAACTAATCATTATCTACCACCAAAGAGAGAATGTTTGTGTTCATACCTTTCTWTTAGCAAAATAGCTCATAAACCACAGGACACATTGTTTGAAACATACAGAAAGTAATCTTTAGATGTCCTTCTACAACTTAATAGCTTTCGCAATCAGTCTAATTCAAGATGGTTAATCAAGACAAAAATGGCTATAACTAATAAATAGCTGAAACTTTGCAATATGCTTTTCTTCAGTTTAAATATCTTTGATTACACAATTAAAATTATGTGAACAAAATTTAATGTGGCCACATTTTCCCCAATATAAATAGGTGGATAATTATTTGATTAACTGAAGCAAAAATATGTATATTCATTGTGTGCTATGGAAAAATTTAATCTGTTTTGTCCTGATACATCTCAGTAATCCAGGTAGAAAAATCAAAAAGAAAAAAATCAGTAGGTCCTCTGGATGGGTTCTTCTTTAATGAAACGTTTTGCCTCTCCAAGAGACTTCTTCAGTCTGAGGAGTTTCAGGTGAATTCAGCCTTATAAGCACTGCCTCCACATGGACAAACWGGTTARTCACATGCAAAAGAGGGTCATCGCCTAACAATAGGTCCTTAGTGCCTTGATTAGCTCTATTGTTCATAGAGGGTCATGTGCTCGCCTGTAGATGAGTGTAAACTATAGAGTCCTGGCCGGTAGATGAGTGTAAACTGCAGAGTCCTGGCCTGTAGGTGAGTGTGAACGGCCGAGTCCTGGCCGGCAGGTGAGTGTGAACTGCCGAGTCCTGGCCGGCAGGTGAGTGTGAACTGCCGAGTCCTGGCCGGCAGGTGAGTGTGAACTGCCGAGTCCTGGCCG